TACATCAGCCATTCTTGCCGTCCTAATTAGTTCTATTTCTGTGCCCAGACTCTTGGAATGAAACCCCAGCCCTCTGTTACAGCCCTGCCTGAGCTCATTATGCTTTCTTGTTACAGCCCTGCCTGAGCTCATTATGCGTTCTTGTTTTTTGTGGGGGGTTTTTTTTTTTTGGATTTTTCATCAGAGCTCTCGCAGTACACAGAATACCCTCGTTGTAGGAAGTAAAAGTTTTCGTAAGTCAGACGCCCTTTCATTACTTCAACTCCCAAATATTCATGCTGCCGTCTGTGGTTCTGTGGTTCAGTGTGTGTTCATCATTGAACTCCACTAATCTCAACAGTGTTGTCAAGAGCCCCGTGCTTCTATCAAAGAGTCCTGTTCACAACATTATGATAATATTTCCACTTAGCAAATGTGTTCAAATCCTTTACAGCGTACTTGATGATAATAAAACACTTGGTTCAAACAAGAGCTTTTTAAAAAACATTTAAAAACGAAGATGTTAAAAAATCCATTAAAATACTTCACCAATTTAAATATATTTATCATTTTAAATGTTAGCCCAGTCCACGATCCGACGTCTTCCACAGAGGGACACAGGGTTAAGGTGCGATCGCCAGGATTGTTAAAGGTTACGAGTACACTTCCGAAAACTATTTTTCCTGTCATGTTGACTGATCACACGTGTGAAAAACAAAGGCAAAAAAGCAACAAAGTCAGCAGTGACCGTCTGGGGAAAGGGTGGCCTGAAGATGCCCTTCAGCCGACGACGTTAGACCGACGGGAAAAAACTTTTTTTTTTTAAATATTCAAAATTTGAACATCTACTAGAACCTTTAACTTAGTAAAAACTGTTTTATTAATACTAATAATAATACTAATTCTTCCAGAACTTTCCTCCATGCAGAATAAGTGCACGTCTTCTCCAGGTGAACACAGTGGAGCGTGGTTATTTACAGTGGCTCCTGTAAACTGATGTTGCTGCGCTCGTCTTCTCTATCATGTCCAATCAACTCCTGGCCTGGAGGGGCAACTCTTGGAGGATTTGCTCTTGAAAAGGGGGGAGAAAAATGAGAGCCCCTGAAGGCGTGACCTTCCTTCTCTGCCACCAATTATATCAAGGCTTTATAAAATATGGATTATGTGCTGTCTCAGTGCTGACATATTGAAAGGCCCGTAGCTTGGGGAGAGCGCCGAGGGGGCTCGTGCATAACTGGGGGAGAGGCTGGGTGGAGTGTGACAGGATGAAGCACAAGGGGGCGACCTTGGCAGGTGGAGCCAACCTTAGACAGCAAGTTTGGACAAATGAAAAGGCCTGATGCCGAAGAACGGCGTGATCAATTCAAATCTGATCAGGGTTCTGAATATTCAACTTCTAAACTCGGCCGAGAGACGAGGAACCACAACCGTGTTTTATTAACGAACTAACAACATGCTTTTAATTCTGCATCCTAACCTTTCAGCTAAAAAATTCTACGATATAATTAATGCAAAAGTTTAGAGATCGTTCAACACTAATTAACCAGAATGTGTCTGGATTCTCATTGGACAGGCAGGAACGTCGATGAACACGGGAGTTCTTTGGCTGCTGATTTGATCATTGATTTTTCTTAATGCTGTGAATATCACATGTTTTTAATTAGTCACAAAGTCATGATTAAGAACAGGAGATAAGAACAGGAACAACACGGTCACGGCAGGGACTAAAATGTTCTGTACTTTGTTTATCACCATATCTCATCTGAGTGAGTGGATGAGTGGAAGAGAGGGGGACAGAGGGGGAGAGAGGGGGGGAGAGGGGGACCTCTCCACCTCATACAGGGGTCATGGAGGGTGAGGAGGGTGAGTCCCCTCCCAGAGGTCAGTGGGTGAGGAGGGGGCTCAGTGTTAACGTGCAGCTGTGGTTTCAACAACAACATCAAATAAATAATAAACCCATCCTGAGCAGTATTCCCCAGTGGTGCCGTTCACTCTGTTGTTGGGTTTTTTTTTTTTAACCCTTTCCTCTGAACGCCTCAACGTTGTGTCAGCCTCTTCTTTAAACATCTGAGCATAAATCCATATCTTTGATGATAAAAGACAGCAGAGAGGCAGCAGAAACACAGTGACAGGCAGCGCTGAATATTTCACCCTGGTTGTGTAAGACACGACACGCGCCGACGCTAGACTGGCTAGGCTAGCTGGATCTATACAGTGGGAGTGGAGACAACTCCAACATCAGTTCACCTCTTACGTCTCATATATGGACATTACATTTTTGAAATGGTAACCAAACTGTGGGTCACAGCCTGGTTTATGGTATTGATCTTTTTCTATAAACAACCTTTTTTTTAAATCACTATTATTTCCAATAAGGTCTTGACACTGAAATTTAATTATTTTCTGTTAATTGTTTAAACTTGACAAGAACTTAATTTCTAATATACTAACACTCCTTGTCTGTACGAGTGCAAATAGCAATAAAGTCTAGGATCTTAAGTCTAACAACAACGTTGTGACTATAATTTAAAAAAAAAAAAATTCAAACCTAAAAATAGGAAAATTCTTTCAGCTCAGCCATCGACCCATCCATTTATCACCGTAGCTACCTTGGTACCAAATTAGCTATATTTTTATCCAGCTGCCTGGACAGCCCACTAGCCTTTAGCATCTTTAGCTGCTGTGTGTTGTCAACCATATTCTGCTACATCATCTCTGACTCCAGCCCTGGGGGAAATCTACTTTAGCATCCTTACTTCATTTCCAATTAAATCCAGATGTATGTGTTGCCTTCCCAAATGCTGCCTTTCCTCACTCTTCTCCCATTGGAATAATTGATGGCGGTCCACGGCCCTATGATGAATGGCTTTTAGGCCGGCAGATGAATCAGAAGATGACTGATTTCACCCCTGTGAGAGGCCACAATTGGCTGGAACAAGAAACGCTGACAGTGTGACAAATACACTGACCGCAGCAACCAAACTTGGCTAAATTAGAAAGGGACAGAGGGATGGCACGCCGTCAGTTCAGCTCAACAGACGCTCCCCTGACTGCCGCTGCCTCCACACGTCTGTCTACCCCATGGATAATTACCTTAGCTTTGCAATTACTACAAGCAAAGCAGTATTCCTGAACACCTGCCAGCAGGGGGGGCTGGATGTGGCAGAGAGCTGGGGCTGGATATCAGTGGGTCGGTGCTGAGGCCAGGAGCAGCAGAGTCCATGCTGCTGCTGCTGCTGCTGCTGCTGCCGCCGTCATATTCCCACTCAGCTCATTGTCATGCAGCAACATAAGAAAGCATGAAGAATCGGATGATTGTCCATCTGTTTTAAAGGTCAATAACTAACATTTTTACTGGTCTGAAGAACCTTTTTGACTGACCTTTCTCTGCTGCGCTCCTGATTGATGACCCTAAACAACATCATACACAGGCAGCAGTTAATGGGCTCCGTGATACATGGACGTCAGGGGGAAGTTAAGGAAAATCTTTGAGCCTCGTACTCTGTGAATGAAGTAATTGCTGTATTTTTCAAAGCTACGTCAGAGCTGTTTTTCTGCTATATTTGATTTTACTATAGTTTAAAACGTGGAACAATACCAGCCGAGGTGGAATTCTTAACGAGTCACTGTGAGAGTACACAGAAGTGTCACATATTTGTTAAGGTAATACCAGCTACAAATACTAATACACTGAACAAAACTGTCCTGTCCTATCTGTAAATGCAAACAACTGATTCAGGAGAACGGAATCGAACCCACGATATTATAACATGTTGCATTAGAAGTCACCGCCATCACGGTGCGTTCAAGGTCCCTGCAGACTTTTTTATTAACTTTTACCAGCCACGTTTGCTCACTCACTCTTTAAAAAAACCCCACTTCATCAAGATGAAGTGTGATCCAGTCAAGGACAGGAAGTAGAGACAGTGAAGTGGAGGAACAAAATGAAGATTTTTTGTTTTCAGGTGTTGATGGGACTCTGACACCAGAATAATGAGTTCTTCCTTGAAGTAACGGAGTCAAAGAGTCTTGTTTGTCCTTCATGTTCTCTGAATCACTGTTTCCCAAAGTCACAAAAATTGAAGTCACTTGGTTGGTACTATGTGGTACTACAAAGAGAACATGTGAGCTCACGCTAACAGGAAGTGTCATGTCAACAGTTTCATCACTACACTTCGTACAAAGACAACATTTCAGCACAAAGACAAACAACTATCACCATGTTAGCAATAATCATAATAACAATACTGTCACATCCTCTCTGTCACTGAGTACTGAGTGTACACATCTATAAGCCAGACCCCCTGAAGTACTGCAGTACTTCTCAGTACCGTAATCTCCCCTGTAAAGGCTCATCAACAGTTAGAGATCAGAGCGTTTTCTGATGTTGTCGATCTGACCCACAGGGCTCTCCACGTCTGAGCGGACGTTTTAATAAAATGAAGAATAAAATATATAAATAAATACATCAGCATAAAGAGGACACGGTCTGAAGTACAACAGACGTCTGACACTTTGGCTTCTGTTGGACTTTGAAGGTTTCAAATCATTGAGTTTTAGCTGCAGCAAAACAGGACGCACACACAAAGAACTTCTGTTGGACTTTGAAGGTTTCAAATAATTTAGTTTTAGCTGCGGCAAAACAGTACGCACACACAAAGAAATGTATATACTGTATGTGTATATGTATAAACTGTACATATACTGATATATACAGATATATACACACATACTGTATATATAAATATATTTATATTGCATTTTGTTGTATTTGAAAACACAAAGAAACTTAATTGTTTCTCTTTCACTGTGATTCCCATTTTTCCAACTTTCAAACAGCAGCTTCAGATCTGGAGGTTTTTTTCATACAACCCTTGTGTTTTTACATAATAGCATTTCATTTTTTGTTGTCTTTCATTTCCGCTCCGTCTGCCTCGTCTTTGTGCAGAGGAAACACGCTGAGTTAAATGAAGAGATCCTCTCACCGCCTCAGGACCGGACCATGAAATAAAGTTTCCTACCTGTGAGATACTCTGGGTCAGGGACGGGGTCTGACAGTTCCTCCTGACACTGAACCTCCGTTGGCACCGACGCCACCACCATGCCGTCTGGGAGCTGCTGCTCGATGCCTCGAGCAAAGTTCTTCTGCCTGGAGTAAAGAGGGGAATAACAGGTGGAGCGGGTTAGAAACGCAGCGCTTCAGCCGTAATACTGAGAATTAACAGAGAAAGACAGTTGTTGTTTTTGTTTTTTAACTTCTGAGGAGTTTTATCGTAGAAATAGTTTGAGAAAATGTCTTAAAATGACAGCTGTTGGCTGCTGTAGGAGAAAAATCTAATGAATTCATAAAAAAATGAAGAATCCCATTATCTGAGTAGTACTGCGTTAGTACTGCGTACCACGTTATTATGAAAGTATTATTAGTTCATGTGACGGAGTAGTACACTGTACTTTAGTTTTGGGGGAAAAAAAGAAGTCAAAACTATTTCTTGGCAGAATGAACTGCAGTATCAACACCTCTGTCGGTGCAGTATTATGTAGTACTCTGCAGTGCATTGAAAAGACAATAGTTCACATTAGTGGCGTCATTTGTCACACAGATGATTGGTCCGCTGCAGCTCCAATCATCTCCAGCGGGGGAGCTGACAGCTCCATTGGTCTGTTGTTGCCTTTGACTCGGAGGTGAACTCATTTTGTCCACGCCATCGTTCTTCGTCATGTGACAGAACCAGTTCACCAGGGTCCAGAACACGATGACTTCAATAAATCAGTTCTGCTGGTCGTTATGATGAAGATATGTGGCGCATAAATACCTTTCCCCAGGCATTCTGGGAAGTTTGGAGAACTAAAATGGTTGTTGTTCTGTCCCTGGAAGCTGTCACAGGGGGCGCTGTCTCCCCGTGGCCAGGACATTCACCCTGGTTGGACAGCCCCGGGGGTTCTGCAGAGCTCGGCCAGTCTGCGGTGTGCGAACCATATGTTTGATCTGGATACAAATACTAGGCCACGCCTTCTGGACCGGATGTTGTTCTGGATGAATCTATGGTTCTTTATCAGGCAAAACAATTCAATCACAGCATTACCACCTCCTGCAGATGGCGCCCTAGACAACAATCTGTGTGAACGATGCTGAGAGCGAGCTTTTTCAGAATGACATCAAACCTCACCACATACTTCAGTTACAGTACTTTACTGCCAAACTTCCACATGTACTAATCAGTACTGTGTTCATCAAGTAGTACACACTGAAGTGAAGTGACGGCCACAGCAGGTACTGAAGTACTGAGTACCTGTGCTGTAGTGAATGGAGCAGTTTGTTATAATCTGATCTACAGTAATCAGGTTGATGTGGTAATCCAGTGAGGTCACGACCTTTGCCTGTCAATCAAACAACAAGACTGCCAGAGGTTGTGTAGAGACGAGAGTCAAAAAGCTGTCAACGCAGAGAAGGAGAAAGATTTCACTGTCTTCTGTCGACACTTGAACAAAACAAACAAACAGGAGAACAAGAAAATGAGAGAGGATTCTTTGTCGACGCATCCACGTCTGACAATCAACACATGATGGTTTTTTGTTCAATGCCGACACGTAAACTGAATAAGAAGAGCAGACTGGAATAAAATATTCAGAAGTGGAGAAAAAAAAACTGTTCAAGTTTAAAAGATTTCATTTTTCTCTAAATGAACCAGAACTGAACAGGATCAGAAATTCACCCGCGCTGCGTTATCTCTGCGCCCCCTTGGAATAACCTGCCCCCCACTTTGGGAACCACTGCCTTACAGCAGTTTGAGTATGAATCTGTCGGGGAATCGATCCACCTGTTGGACACCAGTACTTGAGTCACTGAAGTTTCCAGGAAGGATATGAAGACGACATGGAGGAAACAGAAGAACTAAAAAGAGATAAATAAACTGATAGGAATAGCAGGGTAAAACAGTCACCTTGAGGTGGTTGGGGGAGTCGAGGGGAGGGGGAGGAGAAGGGGGGGGTCGTCTGGTGGAAGAGTGGACTTAATTATTGATCCCTGGCAGCCTCCAGAATGAGAAAAAAAAGGCCACTAAAATATTCATTAAAACCTTTTCTCAGCCTGTCATGTGAATGGGGAATAGGAGGAGGAGAGAGGGCAGAGTGAGGAGTAATGAGCGGAGGTAAGCTATTTAACATCTCATTACTGGAGTCCACCAGGGAGAGAGGGGAGGATGCACAGTCCCCCGTTCACATCCCGCTCTAATATCAACCCAGATCTTATCAGACCTGATGTTTGTGAAGGCGTCAGGTGACGTGACATCCCCCTCCGTCCTCCACGTGTCCCACCACCTGCTGCTTTGTGACCAAAATTACATCATGTCGGCTGCTAACGACGACGACGCCGTCCTGGAAAATCCAATAAATAAATCCCAGGGTTTTGAAATGATAATACTGAGGCTCCTGTGAAGCCGGGAGAGGAAGGAAGAGCCGGAACGTTCCATGTAGGGACGGACGGGTGAGTTTCCTCTTTGAAAAAAAAAATAAATGAAAAGCATTTCAGGGCTGGTGAGCATGAAAGACAAACCATGAAGGAGGCATGCTGGGAGGGGAGAATCACACTGGCTCTGTGTGTGTGTCATACTGGTGTAGCTATACTTGTGGAGACACGGAGAAAAAAATACTGCTGTTGTGAGGACACTTTGTCCTTATGGGGACAATGTGGACGCTCCCACCTCAAGGGGTTTATGGGAAAATCTGTTACTTTTCAAGTGTGTTGGCGTTATATAAAATAAAAAACGCAGTCGTGGGTTCGAACCAGAACTCTGAACAGAAGCAGCGCAGCAGAGTGAGAATATTTATTCAGCTGCTCTGTATTCTGCTGTGTGTGTTTGTGTAGTGGTTTCAGAGTACACTTCATGTACTAGCTGCAGTGCTACTTGGCTAACGACCAGGCTAATAACCAGACTGGTTTCTTTATGATTATTAAATGTGTTTCTATGTGAAGACACTTTGGAACGACTTTGTTTTTTATTGAGGAAAAAATCAACGACAGGAAACGATAAGATAACGGCGTTTTTGTCGAAATATTTCTGATTATATTAACAATCAGTAAACACCCAGCAGTGGCCGTGGGCAGACGGAGTCGGAATTCATCTGTGGGGGGATTTAGGGAATGACATTGTTCCAGGAAGTCATGTTTCCCCGCTGCAGACTAAGTCAGTGTTCCTCAGTGTGTTCACTTCACGTTCAAATCTTCATCAATTCCAGTTAGGATTCATTTCTCCACACTGGCTTTTGGTCAGTTTTAATTCATTCGCCTCCGTCTCTGCTCACGCCGTTCTTCCCAGTGGTCTGCTTTCCATTTCCATCAACTCCTTTCCACGTGATGCATTCGGACACGGCGCTCCATTCACAAACACTTTGGAATTAGATCAGAGCATTAGGGACTTGTTTTTCTGGTGATTTTTTTTCCACACCTGCTTTGACCCTCCCTCCCTCTCTCTGCTGCTCCAGTGCTGGACTGAAAAATGCTACATTGCACTGAGGGGTGTGGGGGGGAAGAGGGGGGGCAGGATGGATGGACTGGACCAGGGCCTGAACCAGGGCCTCTGTCATGGACTGGACCAGGGCCTGAACCAGGGTCTGAACCAGGGCCTCTGTTGTTCAGTGGAAATGTTTGGACCATGTGGAACCAATATGTAAAAAATATATTAGATGAATAAAATATTTTCTGACATATTCAAATGTTTAGTTCCCAAAAATAAACCCAAAATGACCACAGGCACCTATATTTCAGGACATCTGTCCTTTAACCTCTGGTCCATTCGATTCGACCAGTTAAAATGTCTGACACCTGGTACTTAACACTGGCTTCATGTGGGACCAGAGCCTCAAACCCCCGACTGGACAATGTGTCCAGAAGACCATAAGTCCATACGTTTTATTTTTCGTTGCTAAAAGCCCAGTAGGGGGCGTTTAGGGACCAGTAAAGGACTGTAAACTGAACTCAACAGACACGTAGAACAGTCGGGGTTTCGTTGGGAGCTGAGCTCAGGCCCGTGACACACACTTCACTAGACAAAACAGCTGGTGTTCACCTGAACGTGGCCTTGAGGATCTGACCAGACGTCCCCTCCTTGGTGTGGTTGTTGTAGCCGTAGAACAGGTCTCCGAACACCGTCTGGTTGGCCGGGATGTCCACCGCCTCTCCACAGTCAATTCCCTCAGTACAGACCTCCGACAACGGCAGGCACGACCTCCCATCTGGACCACGCTTATAGTCCTCAATGCACCTGGAGTTGGACACAAGGCGGGAATGACATCATTCGATATATAAAAAATATATATATTTAAAAACATATATATATATATTGCTGAAATACTACAAACTGTCTTTTAATATTATGCCATTGTAGTAACAAGATCAGGACAATGTCTTTCAGTATTTCCTCACGAGGTCACCACCTGATTCTTGAATAAAGTTTCGAATTCTTTTGAATGTTCTTTAGGTTTTGGAAAAGTAAATAATAAACAGATGGGATAAACAGATCAAAAATACTGCGTCAAACATTTCTAACTGGTTTTTATTCATGTTTTCTTCATAAACTCCTTCGTCTGCTCTGATTTAAACACTGTTTGTTTTTTGGAGTTTGAAAAAACCTGATCAAATAAAACAGCTGAACATTTTATAAACACTGTGATCAGGTGTAGGACACGCCCCAGGGATTTGTCCTCACATTGTGTCAGTTATCAACATCACACACCGTTGTGGTAAACGGTCCGTCTGAGAACTTCTTGACTGACTTCAATATTTATTTAAGTTTAAATTTGGTCTGAATACACACATCTATATATATATAAATACACATATATATGTATATATGTGTACTTTTCTTAGATTTCTTCTTTAAATACCTGTATTTCATCATTAAACAGTTGTTTAAAGTTTAATTTTTTTTTTTAAATTAAACTCTTCTATCTGTCAGCAGCTCAGACCACTGCCGTTCACTTCCATTTTTTTTGTTCTAAATCAACAGAAGTCTGGTTCCGACCGTGGCTCCTCGCCCGAGGCCGTCCGAGCCGCTGCAGCCCACCTCTCTGTGAAATCACTGATGATTACGTTTCTTTTGTGTTGCTGCTTTTGTTTGATCCTTTCTTTATGTTTTCTGTCTTGTTATGTTATTTCATTTCATTTAAATGAACATATTACAGTATAACAGCGGCCTCTGTTCTGGGGTCGACGTCTTCTCTACTGGAGAACTCTAATTGGGGAAACAGAGTCGGCAGCAGCCAACTATCACAGACTGTCAGAAGGGTTTTTTTGATGAACAATCCAGCTCTGACATCATCATCATCATCATCATCATCATCATCATCAGTCAGCTGCCCACGCTGCAGCCTCAATAACTCTCTGCCAATTAGGCTCCACTGAGGAGACGCCTGATGTAAAGGAATACAACGAAGTTTCCAACAATTGTTGACTTCTAACAAAAACTTTTTTTTTTTCTAAAGATGCCACAATTACAGCCCCGTTCACTGAGACACTGAGTTTAGGTCAGTTCAGTTTTCTCTCCAAATCCTAGAGAGAGTGATAAAGAGAGGGGGGGATAGAAAGATAGATAGAATGTTCTGGATGTGTTCCTTCTTACCCACAGAACATCTGGATGTTGTAGAGGGTGGGGTCGTCCTCTAGGGGCGCCAACTGCTGGAGACACAGCTGCTCACAACCTCCGTTAAAACCATCGGAGCAGTCGATGCCAACGTGGTGGTCGTAGCAGCCTGTCCCGTCCTTCATGGGACTCAGTCCAGGGGGACACTGTGGGGACAAGGACAGGTTGGTATGATGACTTCTGGTCCCACACTTGTCACTGTCCTCAACTCGGAAAAAAAGTGACAATCCATACAGGAATGTAGTTGCATTTGCAAAAAATAAAAAAAAAAATAAAAAAAAGGTGAGTTTTGGTAAAAAAATCTGTCTCACCCAGCAACACGTCTCTGTCCAGCTGTCCCCCCTCCCTGACCTTCTGTGTCCTCACCTCTGCCTCTAACTGATCACTGCCACCTGTGTCACCCTGCCTGGTGATTACCTCACCTCCTCCACCTGTGTCAGTTCACTGTTAACTCAGGAACGGACGCGTCAACTGTCTGGTAGAATTAGCCTGTTAGCCTGTTAGCTCCTCTGTGTACGATCACCGACTGATCATTGGACCGTCCTCTGTCTGTCCTCAGCTCAGTAAACCTGTTTTTTTTCTACATTTTTCTACACCCTCCCCCTCCCCCGGGTTTGCTGTCCGTATATTTACCCACACACTCATCAGAGTTTCACCCTGTGTGCCACATTTATGGACTGTTTATGAATGGTTTTCTACCCATGATGCCGTCTGCTCTGCTGTGACCTTGTTGGTCTGTGTGTCATGAGCGTGATCGAGGCCCAGACGGGCTACGTGCCTGGGATTCAGCTGAACATCCGAGTGTGTTGTCTGGGATTCACGGCTGTCAACGAGTCTTTTCCCAAAATATCAAAACATTAAAATTCAAAAAAAAAAAAAAAATCCACCTCCTGAGACTGATGGTGTTTTGGTTGGTCACGTTGGTAACACAGGCATGAGGCCAAGCTGCCCCCTGAGCTGGACCTCCAACGGGTCTGAAGGTGGAGCCAACGGTTTGACAACACCACAAATAAACATAACACATTATTGTTATATTACTATGTTACTTCAGTTTGTCAAATACAAAATCCTGACCTCTGACCTTAAGGAGACTCAACTCAACTGATAGGTCGCGTGAACGCAGTAACCCGACCCGTGACCAAGGCCACGGGCTGGACCAGCGGTCCGAGTGTCTGCTCCACGGATAAACTGATATTGATTTAGTCACCGTGAAAGTGTCCACTGTGACAGATGATTTATTACCTGTGATGTGAGGAGCACGCCAGAACACATCTGTGGCACACAGTCATTACATCACAGCGATCGATGCCCGCGTGGGTACCCGTCGCGGGCCGAGAGGAATCCGTATTGATGATTTGCGCCGTAGCTCGCGTCCACAGATAGCTGTGGATATCGACTGCAATAATAGGCTTTTGACACGCCACAAGATTGATGGCTCTGGGCAATTTCTCAAGGTGTCTGAAAGATAATAATCATTATATATGTGCCTGTCAGTGTTTGTTTGTGGACCGGTGTCACTTGAGACTTTCAAAGCTGGTCTATAATCCTGCACCCGTCATTGATTAACTGGTGTGTGTGAAAGTACTTCCTAAGTCAAAAAGTTCAGAGATGAATTCATCAGAATGAATAAACACCGTCTCCTGAACGGGTCCGTGATTATCAGCATCATTTAATGACTAATACAGTCTACTGTCAGGTCTTTGGCGCTCGTGACTGTTTTATCATGATGATGCGTTTATGTACGTGTTGGGACACGCAGTATCTCTGACAACAGTGTTATCTTGGTAAACAACAACCGACCTGTCAACGAATGTTGCTGTTCAACTGTACGCTTCACTCCCTCCAGACTCAGATTAATGTGAAGTCCGATTTCTATCTGTATCCGGAACAAAAGCTTTCATATTGTTTTTCAGTCTGGTTTCTCTGGACTTCATCTGAGTCGGAGAGATGGAACTAGAAGTGAAAATAAAGAGTTTTTTTTTTTAAGTGTCTAAAAGGATTATGGTCTTCTATGTTGATGACATTCCAAAACTAATTTCCGGACGGCAACAGTCCTCACAGCTACATGTTTTAGCCTCCAGGTCTCCTCCGCCGTGGGCTGCTGTTCCCAGCAATGTTTATAAAGTACTATTTATTCTCTCTTAAAATAAGCAAGACGTTGTATAAGGAATATGAATGATTTTTGTCCAGGAACTCAGGTGTCCAGGTCACAGGAACCTGAAGTCTGTTTAAAAATGTTCACATTCTGTCAAATTGCTACATTTCACCAATTTAGCTTTTTGTTCACGCTTCTCTACACAGAGAACCGCTTTCAAAGTCATAGCACAACAGCACTTTCTGCGCAGCAGAGTGATGAGATAAGTAAGTGTGGGGTCAAAGGTCGGCTCATTCCAGATTGCTCTGCTTTTCAATCTGGTTCCCCGTGGATGTTGTGGTGCAGAGGTTCAGCATAGGAAAAACTCAGCGCTGCCAGTAACGCACCTCATATTGTTTACAAAGAGCAGCAGCACAACAGCGAGGTCACTCCAGGTCAAATAAACACCATCCAATGAGAATCCTTTAAAGAGAAAGATCGCATCAGCTGACCCTGGATCTTTCATCTCGCGGTCAATAAGTCTGACATGTCTGCGTTCTGAAACTCCAGCTCTAACAATCTGTTCGACTTTTTTCACCGTTTTAACCCTGACGCAGCGATCGCTCATCCAGACGGACGTGGTGTGTTTAATAAATAAAACAGAAACAACAAATGTGGATGTGGTCGCTGTGTAAACGACTATACATTTGACTTTTAGTCCCAAACGGTCACATTCCCACTCCTGTTTATAGCACAGCTCAGAGAGTGGGTCTAAACATACGGTCCAG